AGGTAGGAATTTGGGCTTATGTTGGCGGCTACTTCGGTCATGGGATGTCATGGGCTTCGGAAACCCACTGGTCCACAGCGAGGCTGTGCCAATACTCACCTGAATTTGCTTGTGCAAGCAGCCTCCAGTGCCAGCTATGGGGTTTCAAGGCGATCTCAACACCAACATGTCTTCGTAAACGCACCTACAGAAAACGATTGCTCATGCAAACGCGATGTCGACGCACAACCAGGTCACATTGCTGGTCTCCTACGGCGAACAGTAAGGCGCAAAGCTCCTTGGGTTCTGTTTCCGTGTCGGGATTCTTTCAGACCTGATGATGCGTCCCGCAAACCCCGTGCTGTCGTCCACCTACTGGTCAGCTGCATTGGGGCAAAGCTTCTGTGTAAAGGCGGCGGTGCGGTCACAGCGCCGGGGCTTCAGCAGGGGGTTAAACTTGGCAGAACTCTCACGGGAGGAGCTGTTTTTCACCGCACGGCCTAGTATGCTAGAATAGGGCATCCGGCGCTGCATTGATTTGGTGCTTGAGTCATGAGAAGCACGGCTTGGTCTAAGCCTTGTTTGTCATGGATCCGGAGGAGCGGCCGAGATCCTGCCAGCAATGGATGCACTTGCTTTTCGATGAGCGTCCACACTGTTTGCACCAAAGTGGGGGCGGGGGTTAATATGTCCGTGCATCAGTTCTTTGCCACAGATCAGCCGTGTGCAAGTTGTTTTGAGAACCTTGGGGCCAACTTGAGCGGGCTGGGAACATCGTGCTCAATAATTCCCTTCTCAGCAATGACTGATGCGGGGTTCTTGAGATTAAAAGCTTCCCCTTGAACGCCGTTGCATAACCGGGCATATCCGGTGTGCGAGGGACACATTCGCCCCTTTGCTGTTTGGCATCGTCTGCCCTACCCATCATGCTTGGGGCATATCGCCTTCACCAGCGAGACAGGCATGTCACACTGTTGGCCGAGTGTGGGGCGCGCTGCCTAAAGCATGGCAATCCTGCACGGTGAGAGATTGCAGAGACCCTTGAGGCCAATGTGCCTGTGCCCGGGACATGACAGCAAGACGATGGTCTAAGGTGCTTGCTGGGGGTCTCTCTTACTCAGCTTGTGCCGTAAGTCTTACGGCACAAGCTGAGTTGCTTGCAGCAATATCTCGGGGAGGCCACTGCAAGTCGCCATGCTTGTCGGGGTCTTGACTCTAGATACTTTTCCACCTGATATATAGCTATGTCGATGCTTGCTTGGGCACGTAGCAGGGTACCGGATTTGCTTCTTTGCCACACTGGCATGGTTAGGCAAGGCAGGGACAGGGACACATTCGCCCCTTTGCTGTCTGGCATCGTCTGCCCTACCCATCATGCTTGGGGCACATCGCCTTCGCCGGCGAGACAGGCATGTCACACTGTTGGCCGAGTGTGGGGCGCGCTGCCTAAAGTGTGGCAATCCTGTACGGTGAGAGATTGCAGAGACCCTTGAGGCCAACGTGCCTGTGCCCGGCACATGACAGCAAGACGATGGGCTAAGGTGCTTGCTGGGGGTCTTTCTTACAGCAAATGCTGAGCCGCTTGCAGCAATATCTCGGGGAGGCCACTGAAATTCGCCATGATTGTCGGGGTTTTGACTCTAGATGCTTTTACCTGATATATAGCTATGTCGATGCTTGCTTCGGCACGTAGCAGGGTACCGGATTTGCTTCTTTGCCACTCTGGCATGGTTAGGCAAGGCAGGGACAGGGAGACATTCGCCCGTTTGCTGTCTGGCATCGTCTGCCCTACCCATCATGCTTGGGGCACATCGCCTTCGCCAGTGAGACAGGCATGTCACACTGTTGGCCGAGTGTGGGGCGCGCTGCCTAAAGCATGGCAATCCTGCACGGTGAGAGATTGCAGAGACCCTTGAGGCCAACGTGCCTGTGCCCGGGACATGACAGCAAGACGATGGGCTAAGGTGCTTGCTGGGGGTCTCTCTTACGGCACAAGCTGAGCCGCTTGCAGCAATATCTCGGGGAGGCCACTGCAATTCGCCATGCTTGTCGGGGTCTTGACTCTAGATGCTTTTTCACCTGATATATAGCTATGTCGATGCTTGCTTAGGCACGTGGCAGGGTACCGGATTTGCTTCTTTGCCACACTGGCATGGTCAGGCAAGGCAGGGACAGGGACACTTTTCACCCTTTGCTGTCTGCCATCGTCTGCCCTACCCATCATGCTTGGGGCACATCGCCTTCGCCAGCGAGACAGGCATGTCACACTGACTGTTGGCCGAGTGTGGGGCGCGCTGCCTCAAGTGTGGCAATCCTGTACGGTGAGAGATTGCAGAGACCCTTGAGGCCAACGTGCCTGTGCCCGGCACATGACAGCAAGACGATGGGCTAAGGTGCTTGCTGGGGGTCTTTCTTACAGCAAATGCTGAGCCGCTTGCAGCAATATCTCGGAGAGGCCGCTGCAATTCGCCATGATTGTCGGGGTCTTGATGGATGCAGGAGTAGCATGCCCGTTGGCACCTGGCGATTTTAGATGCTTTTCCACCTGATATATAGCTATGTCGATGCTTGTTTCGGCACATAGCAAGCAGACCACACCCTTATCGGGGAGCATTTGCTGGTTTCTTCTATCTACGGAAGTGCAGTCGTTCAAGTGCGTGCAAGCCAGGGTCAAGTTGTACTCCAGCTGAGATTTGAGCAGGAGGCGTGAATGGCTCATAATGGCTCCAGGCTCTAGGTCCGAATTTCAGAAAATTTTCCAAATCGCTCCAGAGCTAGTGCTCTGCTGGGCTAGGGTCTTGAAGCAGGTCGAAGATGGCAGAGAAGAAGCTTTCTCCGTTGCACAAAAAGGTCCACAGGGGTTTAGGCGGTTTAGGGTTACAGGGCTGGATGTTGAATCCTTGTCATACCTTGTCGTCAGCTGAATGCCGTCCAGTTCTGCGGGACTGGCAGCACAGTGATCCCTCTTGGCGCAAGGAATGCCGTGTTATTGAAAAATGTTTTTTTCTGCATGGCCCTTTGCCAGCATGGAGCCTGCCCTGCTGGGTAGAAGCGACAACCTGCACGCAGCTTAGAATTGAATTTCGCACCCGCCAACGATCTGGCCGGTCTTCTGTGCTTTTGGGATTCTGTCAGGCAGGATCGTTGTCCGCCTCACGTGCATGGTTCCTGACAGATTTGCGGTGTCCAGCAGTGCTTCGGTGTCTTGTCGTGTTTGGGGTGTGTCCGATTGCCTTGCCTGAGTTAGGTGTGGTTGAGGTCGATGTACAATTGCGTTATTTCTTGGGAGTTCCAGGAACCAGTGAGGTTGAACAGACGAGTGCTTTCTTCCCTGCGTTGGGCATCGAGCACGAGTCGAAAGCTTCAAACGCTCTGCGTTCAGGTTGCTGGAGCTTGGCTTCAAGCCCATCTTCGTATTCGATGGCTTCCTTCCTGATTATTGAATCCGCAGACCCAAACCAGGAAGCAAGGCTTACGGTTTGTGTTGTTCGGTAGACACTGCAAACACTTCATCATTGCTATCATGCCTAATTACCTGCCTACGTGCTTTGTTCTCGCTGCCGTTGCTATCTCTGCTGGGTACCAGCCGGCATTGCTATCGTCCGGATGGCAATCGTTCTTCCTGTAGTGACTGTAGTGTTATTCTTCAGCACTGAGGGCCAATACACCTAACATTCGTTATAGCATCTCCTTATCGTCTCTGCAGATGAGAGTTTTTGTAAATCCCAACATCCGACGCTGATTTTTGATGCACCAGCAGAATTGCGCCGAAAAGCCTGGGATGGGAGCTGCACAGTCCCTTCATAGATTCGAGCCGGCTGCAACGACCTAGTCCCACGATGGCTTCGGGCTTTAGGGTCAAATGGTATTGTGACATACATGCATACATCCATACATCGGTACATCCATACATACCCATACATACAGACATACACGCATCATATTCGCATATCAATCATTCACGTATATTTGTACATTATATTTGTATTTATATTTATGTTTATATTTATAGTACATGTATGTGTGTGTGTGTCATCGGACATATATATATATATATATGTATATGTATATATATATATATGAGAGAGAGAGAGAGAGAGAGGGAGTTTAGGCAACGAGATGGCGCAGATTAGTGCGAAGTCCTTTCCATGTGTCTTGCAGTCGTGCAACCGAAGCCCCTGTTACAAACCTTATGTCCCACATGCTGGGTCTGGTTCACATTCTCCCAATGTGAGACATGAGCGGGCTAGGCATCTCATAAACCCTTTAGACTTATATGCCAGCGCATCATGCAGCTGTTTTACCGTACATCTTGTTGGGAGGTGAGCAGCACTCTCAGATCTCGCAGAGGGCCATAGTTGCTCGGCTCAGCCCAGGAGATGCCCCAGAGCTGAAGAAGGCTCATGTGCCTTTGGCAGCAAGTGCTCCAGCTGCCGGCAGGGCTGAGATTTTCGGCCGTCTCGCGATCGTCTAAGACCTAGAACTCGGTTTACCCCTGATGTTTACAGTAAGGGTTGACCGTGTTAGGTTTTCCTTCCGAACCCTTTGTATCGCTTGGCACTGCGCTACAATGAAAGTAGGCTACATTATCACATGTTTCCGGGAGCGAGTTGACATATCATGTAGATGCATACGATATAAACGGATAGTAAAACATAGGGGCCTGCCACGTGTGTTTCAGATGTTTTCAGCATCATATTGTGAAACTATCCATGGGATGAGTTCGAACAACAAGCTGGTGATGTTGTACAAGGGCTGAAGATGCAAGTTCTGGTGGTTTTGTGCATGGTTCAGTCAGGATTTTTTCCGCAGAAAATGGCCGTGCTGTTCACTATAACCACAGCGTAGTGGACCTTCAAAGCTTAACCCTGAGATGTAGACCGACTTCGTAGACTAGACAAGGTAGCATGGGGTTCTGTGCGCCGTGCGCAATACTTACCTTGCAAGCGATGAGCCATGATGGCCTAGGGCGGATCTCCGAAATCGAAGGCACTCTTGGGAATGACGATGGCCTCGATCCAATGACAAAGGATATGGACATACACGAGTTCCACGTGCATCTGCAGAGAACCTTCGGGGGGGACCCCGAGAAGGTGAAGGAGTGGTACAAGTCGGAAGGGTTCTTGTGTGGCTACCCGCTCCTACCAGGGCGCAAGGAGCCGATGAGCGAGGAAGATGCAGCAGCCAGCTTCCTCGAGGTTTTCGGCCCTCTTGCGACACGCTGGGCTGCGATTGGTCTTGTCTCGGAGGCTTCTGCCACGAGCAGCCAGATTTTGGCGAATCGCGATAGGTGGGGTGCAGCACTGGTAGTCATAAGGTACATGGACGGCAAGAACGGGAACTGCATGTGGCGGAACCGTTGGGCCAAGCAGGCACGTGGCACAGTTCTGTTCGCGAATCCGGAGGACGTGTCCGACGTGAGAGTACTGAACTTCAAGCTCCCTCGCGGGGCAGAGGTGAAGACTTTCCTTCACACTGAACGGGGCGTTTCGGAGACGCAAGACTTTGTGGGAAATGCATACAACCATCTGGATGATTGGACCATCAAGACTTGTGACTGCCTCCGGATGGGAGGCAAGATCAGGGGTCACCTTTCATTCAAGGGTGATGGATCCCTCATGACCTTCACCCTTGCGACAGGAAGTGCGGCAGAGCTGTGGCAGCCAATTCTGGAGTTGTGGGGAAGCCCTTGGGTCAGAGCGTGGAACGACCTGTGCCGCAATGTCTGTGCCGAAGATGGAGTGTCGGAGACCTTGGTCTTGGTTCCAGCAACCAATGGGGTGGCAATGATGGACGACTTCATGGTCAGCTACATGACCACCGGACTTCTTGTGGGTACAGGTGCAGCCAGCCGCGATGCGCTGCTGGAGGTTGAGCGTCGGGGTGGGACGGCAGTGGATGCATTGTGGCAGCACGGCGCCGAGTTCGTCCGAAGCCTTGTCCGCTTCCGCTTGGGAGGAGCTTTCGCTTTGAAGGAGACCGTCACCCTGTCCTTCGAGGTGATGGTCGCGCACCTGAGGGGTCTCTTCGGCGACCGGTACCACTCCGAGTTGGCCGTGAGCTACGACCGTGACCGTGCAGTCTTTCTGGGTGCCAGCTGTGCGCTCCAGTTCTACCCACACTACTGCTTTGAGCACCCTTTCGAGGAGCCACTCTACTGGCCAGTCTCGCACAGTGAGGATGTAGCCAAGATGTTGACGGCGCTGGAGAAGCTTGCCAGGACGGAGATCACCAAAGAGGAGTTCTTTGCAGACTGCCCCCCCGCTTCCCAGACCTGTGAGGACGCCATCATCGACTACGAAGGCTGGGTCTTCCATGTGAGCCTGGGACCCTGGGACGAGAACCTCGAGGTCGCCCCAAAAGAGAGCGCTCCGGCCACTCTGCATCTGGCCTCCCTTGTTAAGGAGTTTAGTCTAGTCTAGGTTAAGGAAACCATACTCCTTACTGTTACTATAGATCCCCCATTAAATTATAGTAACTTAACATAGCCAGAAATAGCGAACACCCTAGTGTTTACTATGCGATTACGAAAGCCCAGGTATACGAAGATCAAGACGCCACTCTACTACCGCTTCCACAAGGTCTGGAAGGGCCCTGAGGGCCGTGCAGAGACTTTGGAGGTCGCGCCGTTGGTTCAGCAGACGCCGGGTTGCTGTTGAGGAACTTCAAGTAAGTTACCATAAGAAGGACACCTTGTTATCTACTATGGATCATATCCCCACTATGGCAACTTCTGAATTCGCCATAGTCAGGAAGCCCCGTTATCTACTGTGCATCCCCATTATGGCAACTTCAATTAAGTTCCTCAACCCTAAAACCCTAAACCCCAAACCGTGCCACCCAGGACTTTCCCCAAGGCCAAGCGCCTCCTTGAGGTCTTCGCTACCGGAGCTCTGCAGCTCCGCATGGAAAAGATCATGGACCAGGACCGACACATTTAAGTTTCCATAGTGGAGATATGTAGTAAGTTATATATAACTTACTGGGTTTCCTAGTTACAGTAGCTTAATCTGCAAGTTGCCATAAACGGGGATATATCGTAAATAATAGGGTTTCCTTATTACCCCTAATCTTGGACCCCTTTGTTTCTATGGGACCTTACTGATTAGATGATTAGAAGAATGCTTATACCCCGCAGGTGACGCGCCTTTTTCATTTCGACGACCCGGAGAATGCTCTCCTTGCGCACATGAGGGCCAGGGATTCGGGTGCCAAGGGCAGCCCCTTACAGGGCTTCGGGGACCGGCCCTACGAAACTCAGTGCAAGATCGCCATCAATGCAAAAACGAGTCCTTTCGGCGATATGCTGATGGCTCTCTTTGTGGAGGAGTTCTCCTTCGTGAAAGAGGAGGATCGTGAGCTAAAGATTGCCTTGAAGAGCATGGTCATGAAGATGCAGCCCTGGGCTCCCTTGCTAAGAGGCTACGATCCAACTGATCCGCTTTTTGAGCCACTGGTTGCCGCTTGCATGAGGGGTGCATAATTGCGATACGTTGGACCATACTAGTAGGCAAAAGGCATCCTCGGGTATAATTGTTGAAGTGTTGTGGATGTTTGGTGCGCCGTTTGGGACGTATAGCAGAATGACCCGAACAATTTGCAAGGTTGTAGCGAACACAGCGAGAGTGTGGCTGTTAGTGCCCTGGATGTGGGTTCAGACTGCAGCCGCATCTTCATGGGTTCGAAGATTGGTCACGAGAAGCCCTCCACAGGGCATCCAGACCAAAGCGCTTGTTGTACAGTGTGCAGTTCAGCTTTCTCGAACTTGTGTACAGTGAGATTGCGCTGTGAAAAAGCGGTGTGCTGTATATTCGAGGAGGTCAATTCATCAGCCCGTCACGTGGCCGTGAGGTGCTTTTGGTAGCGCATCGTTGAATTATTTGGACTTGTTCGTGTTTTGCAGTGAGGACGGTGACTGCTGGGCTGGGGGTAGTAATGTGACAATGTGTGATCTACTTGGGGAGGTCTGTTACGATGTGTAACCGATGTGTTTTTGGACTGGTTGTGTTCGCACGCCGTTTCGTTCGGAAGTTGGTTGTGTAATTATGTCAGATGTCAGCTGCAGTCGTGCCTGGATGTGTCGTGAAGCCTTGCCTGGTTGGAGCGGGTGTCAGAGTCGAAAACCTCAACCCGTCGCAGAAGTTGGCTTTCATGCAGAGGTCCTGGTCCAGCGCGAGCAGAGCCGCGCGAGGTCGCGGGAGCAGCTGGAGGAGGTGCACCGACGTCGCTCAGGAGCGTAGGGGTGGGGCTCAGGAGCTTCGGGCTTCAGGGTTTGGGGTCCATCGGATCGGCAGACGACTAGCTTGAACCAAGTGAATTTGAAGGACTGGTTTTACCCTGCCTGACCCCAAACCCGGGTGGTGATAACAGCCGAGGAGCCCTGATCAGAACAGTAACATACAAGTCCTTCTATAAGAGGGGACTAGTACTAGTACTAATACTAATGCCAATTTTAACAACAGGCCAAAGCCGCGGGAGACGACGATGGTGTCAAGCGGCATGTTGCAAGGCTGGTTTTTTAGGCTTTTGAGGTTGAGGGTTTCCCTCGTGTAGGGACTTAGGGTCAGGGTCTTCTGCTTCGGCTTCCGGGTCGATGGTTCAGCGGTTGGAGTTTGGCTCCGGTGTCAGAGTCGCAGGTTGTGAGGTCTGGGACGGCCATTCGAACCGCCCTCCCCGGCCCCGCGAGACTCTTGCGGAGCCGAGACATGCAAGTCAGAAGTACGCAGACCTCGTTTGCATGAGCTGCTGCACGAACAAATACTGTTGTTGTCAATGCTATCATCTCGCTGTTTTTCTCTTTGTGGGGTGCTGTTGGTGCTGGTGCCGGTGGTCGTTCTTTGACTGCTGTAGCTCCTGGAAGGGTGGACGATGACGGTTGTGATGTGATGATGTTGATTAGCATAAGTACTGCTGATCAATGTGATGGTGCTGATGATGGTGGCGATGCTGCTCCTGCTTGCGGTGGAAACCCTCTGATGGTGCTCATAACTGCTGGGACCCAAAAGGTTATCATTGTTCCTGAGTTGTCGGAACAACAACCCACCAACTGCTGTTGCCGATGCTTTGTTTAAATCAGTTGCATGGCTGTTTGTAAATGGATGCCGGGGCGTGCGGTCAAAGTGTCCTTGGCAACTGCATGCGTGGTGGCCGTACACTGGGAAACTGTACTGTAGTGCAATGAATTACGAGAGCAGAAACATCTGTTGTGCTATATCCATGGGCTTAATCTTTCTGGTGGCAAGAGCCCTGCACATGAGCTACTAGGGGAGTTTTTGCTTACCGTCCATACCCACTATATAAGTGGTGAACACGTAGATGGAGCAAAAACTCTGAACGCAAACCAGATACTGAGAGTAGCAAGAATCTATGTGTCGGGAGGTTGGTCAAGGCGACGCCGCGGCATAACGACGAAGCGATGCAGCTGTTGCGCCTCTTGCCCCTGCTGGATTCGACGAAATGTCGCATTTCGAGTTTTTGTGTGCTCATTTCCCAAACACGACCCTAGACCCAGGTTTGGGTCATCTGTGAGGGGGTGCCTTCGATAGCTTTTCAGCTCATGTCATCAGGGAAAGTGCACCGCACCTCAGAAAGATGGCAGCATGCACACCCCTAGGGCTCCAGTTACCTAAGTAGTGGGCTACTAACCATATAATATGTACCCCAGTAACCTACTATTTAGGTAACTGGAGCCCTAGGGCACCATTATTCAGCCGGGCTCAGCTACTGTATAGGTCAATTGAATATAGCGTGGAAGGATGCAGCATGGAGAGAAAGTTATCGTAGTTTTGCGCATGCCGGTGTGGCGTCTCTTTCCGGATGAATCATCTTTGTGGCCTGCCGCGTTGCTCCTTCAGGCCAAGAAGGCCTAAAGAGACCTTGTGCTCCGTGTCCCTGTTCCAGGTCTGTGGGGCTGGGATATAAACCCCTGCACCCGTCATGTCCGGATCTCCACTCCATCCGCAGATCGAGGACTCATGGGCGTGCCTGCGGTGCAAGCACCCGGCGAGGTGGGCAAACGTCGGGTTTGTAGCGTTTTTTTTTGTTTTTTTCTGTATTGTGTGGGAGTAATGCGGAGTCGATCGGGCTTGTTGGGACTTGCTGGTTTGCAAGCTGTGTAGGTGCTATACAGGTCCTTCAGCAGGTCTTCTCAGTGGCTACATGTTCAGTGTCACGCCCCCGTCGACTGCACTTTAAAGCCAATTTCGCTCCTGATTTCACAGGTCAAGATCATCAGCAAACCAACATGACTTGCTTCGTAGGTGCGGCTTCAATTCCTCGCGTTGCATTTTGTCAGCGGTCGTAGCACAAGCAACAGACACAAGTTGTTGAAGCAGAAGAAAGCCGACAACACAAACGCACAGAATGTAGAGAAGGGGGCTTTTTAAACCGCCCCGGAGATTCCCTGAACCAGAAGCGATTTGAGACTAAAGCGTTCTGTCTCGGATGTCTCGAGGCCGAGGCACTCTGTGCAGAGCTTGCCACGGCTGGCCATGCCCATGCAGCGGCTACGGAGGTTGGTGTTGTAGGGCTAGAATTTTGGGTTTAGGGTTTGTGCCTGGATCCTGGCCGGGCGAGTTCCAATCAAGCTACTGTAGTGTAAAAGGGTTTGGTTTAACGCTATCTGCTGCGGCTTCGATACATGTGGCACCCTTCTGCGAATTCATTGCACTGTCCTGGCAACTTCCGGTGGCCTTCCAAGAAAACGATTCTCGGTAACTAGTTGCCGTCCCGCAGCAGATTGGCAAGATGTGGTGATGTGACGGGATTTGGTAGGTTGCGCATGAATTCCAAGAGGCCGCCCGTGCTATCAACAGAAGTCGGAAATTCAGCAGAAGCCCTCCTAAACACCTGCACCCTTCGCAGAGGGACCAAGCCGCCAACGCCAGACCCCTTGACACCCCTGGCCTCAAACTCCCCCACAAGCCGTTTACGTCCCGAAAACTGAAGTACCCCGAACTCCGAATATGGAAGCTCCGGAGGATCCCGAGATCCTAAAGTCTAAGTCAACCCCAAAAATCCACAGGTATAGTTTCACGGCCCCGTAAGGATCCGAAGCAAAGTCTAGCATGAAAACACGGACTACATCTCGGTTGTTTGTTCCCTGGGTCTGTAGAATGCCAACTTAGCAGTTTTGATTTGGGGTTTAGGGTTCCCTAAACCCTAAGCCCTGATCCCAGTTGTGAGTGCTGAAACCCTAAACCGGTCTTGATGTTTTTGGCCCACCCAGCATTTCACAGGGCATCTGAAGATCGAACCAATGGTTCCTCTAGTTCCGATGATTTGTGTGTGCGTGTGTGTCACTTTTACGTGCTGCATATAGGCACCGTCACGGGAATCATGCTGCATCGATCTCCACTCAAGTTGTGTTGGAATGGACTATATAGTACTATAAACGTGGTATAGTGTACTAAAATGTACTACAGCGGACTAGAATCTACTATATGATGTGCCTGGGCTTTGTCTCTAGACTTCAGGTCCGACTATATAGAGGCCTCAGAAATTACCATGACTGCTGCTTCAGGGCTCCTGTTGCAATTGCACCCCAAGACCTGAAGCCATAAGCCAACACCCTTTCATCCTAACCCTTCAGTCGCCCAAACACAACCATGCGCTTTCTTAGGGGCTGGGAAGGGGCCCTTCAACCTCGTGGTGGCAAGCAGCTTATCAAACAAAAGCCTGCTATCTTTAACTCGAGACCAACCAACCGTCCCCGAAGCCCTGAACCGTACACCCCCAAACCCAAAGACCCCAATCTCAAAAAGAAGCCCTAAAGCCTACTCTAAAGCCTAGAACCTATAAGCCCTAACATAAAACCTACAAGTGTTTACAGCCCTAGCCAGGACTTCGACGCCTTAGTCTTTGGAGCTCCGAGACTCCTGAGGTACGTTCATTGTGATTGTTATTTATTTATCGTTTATTATTCTTGTTATGTTCATGGCTAGTAGTCCTATTGTCACAATACTCATACAAATCATTATCCTTATTACTATTGCTACTATTTTTTTTAATCAATATTTTCGTTATTAAGATTATTATTTGTGTGATTATTGGAATTATTGGCACTGTAGAGGCTTCGGCCTTTGTCCTTCGCAAGGGGTTCATGGCTTCGGGCGTGTGCGCCAAATGTCGGTTTAGGGTCTAGGCTAATTTGCTGCTTTTAGGGTTTAGTCGGTTTAGGGTCTAGGGTAATTTGCTGCTTTTAGGGTTTAGTCGGTTTAGGGTCTAGGGTAATTTGCTGCTTTTAGGGTTTAGGGCGTGTTGGCTTTTACTTGTGGGGTTTTTGGTGGCTGTTTTCCGGCTTTACATTGTTTCTGTAGGGCATACTGCATCTGTCAGTATGTTAGCAACATCTTTTCGGGCGTTTGCAGTTTATCTTTGTGCTCTGGTATGTGCCAATTTTAGATTTCATGTGCCCCGTTCATATATGCACGTTCGCTGTTCTCAACAGTGCCACTACTCCATTGTGTAACTTTCAGACTGTCC